TATATTAGAGTTCAAGCTATAAATCAAAAAGTGTTTTATTCATGATTTCAAATTCAATCCTAAGGGATATGTCAACTACATTGGAATGTTTTCTGCCTCATTTCATTTAATAAAATTTTTAAAAGTAACTAGTTTAAAAAAATAAATAACATTAAAATACTATATTAGGATGTTGATGATCAAAATTTTATAAAAAATTTTTAGTATCTGAAAAATATATATTTTAAGCTATGACAATCACGTGCAAAGCACGTGAACTATTACTAGTAATAAATAAGGGGATAAAGGATCTCCCTGTCTCAGGCCTCTGCTAGGTAGAACATGTCCTACTTTGCCACCAATTAAGTTAAAAGAGTAAGAAACAGAACAAACATAGACCATGATCCACCTAACAAAGATGGGACAAAATCCCATTTGCATCATCATTCTCCCAAGAAAAGTCCACTCAATTCTATCGCACGCCTTAGACCTGTCCAGTTTAATGGTCATGAATCCAGTTTTGCCTTTTCTTTTGTTTTTCAAAAGGTGAAGAATTTCCTGAGCAATCAAAAAATTGTCAAGAATCTGTCTTCTTGGGATAAAGATTGTCAAGATTAACCGTACCATCTATTGCCCTCAAAACTATGTACCTTCTGGTTTCTTCTACAAAGACTAAAATTAACGTTTTGCTCGAACAATTTGTCTTTTAAATTCACCCATTACCTCGGGCCTATTGTAATGATCAAATGATAATGTTAATGGATTCTGGAAGGCAAGAAGAACATATTTGTAATTGAGGTAGAAAAAGGAAGATAAAAGACCGTAAATGAAAAAGGAAAAATAACAAAACAGGAAAAGGAACAGAAGAAAAACTTTCAAGAAAGGGAAAACTATATATAAAGAAAGCAAATTATAAGGTCCATCTGTGGATGTTAGCCTAGGCTAAAAAGTAACAAAATTATGTAGTATTGGAAAACTGATTCTACACTGTCAGGTTCTTTTTCTTTTGAATATTTTGTGCTTTGGAACTACAGAGGAGGTAGCAAAGAGGGAATGCAGGTAATGAGTTTGGCGGCATCAAGTAGTTTCTTGGCAGATCAGAATATCAAAATCCAGAATAACCATAAGCCAGAATTGCTTCTGATCCCGGAAGCGTGCTTGTATAGCAAACTGAAGTATTTTGCGTGACAGTTGCAAGTGTTTTTATCCTATCAATGAGTTATCTTAACAGTTATGATCATTATCATCTCCGTATCACTCACTCAATCATGCTTAGATGGAAGTTTCTCGCTGCTATGGAGAATCTGCCCTGCATGCCGGGAAGTATCCGAGTGCATTCACACCAATGTTCATTGCCAGACATCCTGAGTCTTTGTTTGTTTTTCTGTTTGTCTGTCTGTTATTATTATTTTTTTTAGCATGATCAGTAAGGCTAATTGTGCAGTTATCGTTTATTGGCAATTCCACATTTATTTTGAATAGACTAAAAGCAAATTTCACCTCTTTTGTTGTTTGAAAACCTGAATGAAGTTTGTAGCAGACTAGCACTAGTTCAAGAGGTCTTGGTCCCAGGATTACAACAGGATGGATGAAGGATTTGATACCACATATTTAGGGTTCAAAGTCTCAAAATGTTCAAAAGATAAATGAGCCTATACTTAACCGAAATTTTGTAAAGAGATCATAAAGGGATGCTGCAGCCAATTGCAACTTAGATTTTGGAGAATAAATTAGTTTCCTGATGGCTAAGGAGTCAAGTATTGACGCACATTTGGGTAGATCCGATCTTCAAAGATCTAACGGTCCAAATTGTGACGCAACATCTCACTAAGTGACGTGGCACAATCTGAATTATTAGATTTTTGAATACCAGGTCTACCCAAATTTTGGCCAATACTATTGGGTGTGTCCAGATCAGTATATGGACAGGAGAATTCTCAATTTTGCGCACGTACCAGGAAACTTGCTCTGGTGCTCTAATTGAAATTCCAAGAAACTTCCAAGCATTTGCTAAATAGGGTAAATTACAAATACCACCCAGTGATTTTACTTATTACCATATAATCCCCTATGATTAGTAAATGGCAGCATGCATATCCTCCATTTTTGGTTTAATGGAAAGTGGAAAAATGAACGAAAGTAACCCCCACTAATGCGTTACAGAGCCGTGCAACCAAATGAACTTATTCTGAGTATTTAATGACATTCTTTACAACTAAATTGACAAATTAATACTAAATGATAAGTTGTACGATGTGTCTATATAATCCCGTCTAGGCAAGTGGAGTGTAAGTAATATTTAATTATGAATCACCTATACTTGGTTTTTTTTTTTTAAAAAAAAAAAAAAACTTTTTACTAGTACGGGAGGGATAGGATTTAAGAAATTGGAGAGGGAGATGGGGATTAGAGCTCGAGATTTCTAAATTCTAGAACCCCAATCTCAATACTAAATATGAATGGTCTAGGCAAGTAGAGTGTAAGTAATTTTTTGTTAATTATGAATAGTCTAGGCAAGCCGAGTATAAGTAATTTTTTTTAGTTTTGGCTATAACCAAATATTTTATTTCAGTTATGGTACTAATTAAATGAATTTAATGTTACCAATTAATTTAATAATGTCAGTAATTAAAATGAACACTAAAACATTACCAATTAATTCAATGATGTTGTTGATTCAAATGAAAATTTCTCCCATTTCAAACTATTTACTAACATTTGCACTTCATTTCCTAATATTTCTTGTGTTTAAAATTTCTTGCTCAAAGCAATGACAAAATGTTAAATAGCTAGAATTTTAAGATTATTGGATATTAATGTGGAAAAATACATGCTCTTGGGACAAACCGAAGACATGCAAGAAAAAAAAGTCCTTTATTGACTTGAAAAATCTTTATAAGATGATCATGAGCCATTTGCATAGTGCATAATTATGTACTACTACTTTATATGAATATGAAAAAAAATAAGAAAAAATGCCAATATCCGATGGATTATACACACCTTATTAACCGTAATGGTACTCAAATAAAGAGCAAACAGTCCAAGTTCAGTGAACATTCCATCTCAATTTTAATATGTTTCAAATTCATCAGAAAAAAAGATGAGTTAAATTGACCTACTACTCTTCTTCTCCAACTTCTCTCTACTGCTCCTTTTTTCTGGATGCCTTCGTTTCCAGGAGGGAGATCACCATGGTCTTCCTCTCATAGGTTTTGTTTTTGTTATTTTCCTAATAAAGTCTTCTAAATTTTCTTAGTGGGATTTCTCTGTTCCTCCTATGGTTGCTAGTGAGAATTTTTGTTCTCCTTAGAGTTCCTAGTGAGATTTTGTATTATTTTCCTTGTTTTGTTATTTAAATTTGAATTTACTTCAGATCTAGTTGTCAGATCTGAATTTATTTTAGGTTTCAGTCTATGTCGGCAGATCTCATCAACTTTATTAGAGTTTACAATTGTTGATTAGCAGATTTGACGATTGCAACATGCACAGAGTGGACTGCAGCAATTTATTCTATGAGGAGATGATTTTAAAATTGATGGTATTTTTAAGATCTATTCTTAATTTCTTAATTTTTTTGTATCTGTTAAATTGCAGATCTACAATTTTAGTACATGTTTTATCTGACATTAGGGCAACGATGTATATCAATCATGCTGGATGTTTTCTAGCAATCCATTAATGAAATATGTTTTGTTATAAAAAAATTGACCTAAAAAACAACAAACATAAAAATAATTTAGCTTTAATTGAAATTATGTTCAACTTAACCATATTTAAGAAAACAACGAAAATTGTTCATATATTTCATCTATAAACAACGAACCAACTCTAATTTCATTGCCATAATTCTTTTTCCTTTGATTAAAAAAATAAATTAGATGAATATGTATTCAAACAAACAAAAAAAAGGATAGTAGTATAATAAAATAAAATAAAATAAAATAAGAAAAAATTCCATAGTTGAAAAAGAAAAAATAGACAAATAGCTAGAAATAATTACATGTGATAGATCGTTAACACCCCATCAATGATATATCCAATCAAAATTATTTTTACAGCTTAAATCTTTATTTTACTAATGTTTAGCAATTTTTTTTACCCTTGGACATATGCATGTCCGAGAAATTTACCTTGCTAATGTCCATAATTTTGTTTCTTACTTCCAACTCGATGTATGCATGTACATTTCTTATAGAGAATCAATACCGGTACATCAGAGTTTGGATTATGATTTATCTAGAAAGGTCAAAAATACTTTAAGAAAACATTCCCATATAAGAGTTCAAAATTTAAAAATATTTTTACAAAAATTGATTAAAGGAACTAAAAATATATATAAGAATTATTCCATTCTAAAACTGATAATCAAAATTTTATAAAAAATTTTAGTATCTTAAAAGTGTTATATTTAAGATTAATACAATCACTTGCAAAACACGTTAAGTATTACTAGTCCAATAAGAAGTGCAAGTATCAAAATCACAAAAACTCAAACATTTTAGTTAAGTTTAAGTCTATATCAAAGGATGTACATTGGATGATACAACTGTAACATTAATAATAAAAAGATCACACAATTCACGAGCATATAAACAGAGTATATTACCAAAAATATCAAGATGTATAACCAAGCAAACAAAATATAAAAATATATTACTTCTAGGTATAATGGGCATTTTAATTAATATTATTACTACTAAGGCAACTTTTTTTGTCTGTTTCCACTTTACATGAAACCACGACCGCCAGGGATTGGGTGGCCTTTATCAAATCATAGGGAATTCCGTGGTATTAAGTGAAACTACAGGACAATTTAACACATGCATACAGACTAGTTCAAAGTGTTTGCGAGAAGACTAGTTGATTAGCTTGCAGAGTCAACTGAACAATACACCGACTAGTTCAAACATTTCTGCATCAAAAGTTTCCAATTGAACCTGAGATCATCTGAATTTGATGATTTGTTACCATTGATTTTCAATAGGAAAGTGATGATAGTCATGATGGAAAGATCATAGATGCCTAGGAGTTGTGACAACTGGGAAAGGCTGGTGACAGCCACCCTGAGAAGAGAAGATCTCCGCCTCACTGCACTGAGGACTCCAAGTGAGCTTTCCCTGGCATCATTATCATCATTTTCCTCCTTCAATCTAGCTTCTTCCTCTCGACGAGTTTCATCTTTCGACTTCTCCAGCTTGTTGGTGGGGGATTCATTGTCATACAATCAAATTCTCCAAGCAACGGATTACTTGAGTGAAAACAAGCTCATCAAGCATGGCGACTCTGGGGATCTCTTTTTTGGAGTTCTAGAAGGAGGGACTCCGGTTATAGTCAAGAAAATTGATCTCTCATCAGTCGCCAAAGAATCCCTTTTCATAGAAGAACTGGAAATTCTTGCGAAGGTTTCTCATCATCATAGATTTGTCCCTCTGATTGGTCATTGCTTGGAGAATGAGAAGGAGAAGTTTCTTGTCTACAAGAATATGGCTAAAAAGGATTTGTTAACTTTCTTCTCTAGAAAAATAGATTCAGGTAATCTTAGAAAATTACGATTGGTGGACTGGATAACGAGGTTGAAGATAGCAACTGAAGTTGCTGAGGGTTTATGCTATCTACACCAATGTGTCCCTCCCCTTGTTCACAGGTAGCTGAGATGTTCCTCACTTTTTCCTAGCAAACTTTTATTATTTGCATGTTTATTTTAGCTTTTGGGACATAAGCTGCAGCTTATCTTTCTATTGTTCTAGCAACATTCAAGCAAGTAGCATACTTCTTGATGACAAGTTTGAAGTGAGGTTAAGCCTCTATGAGGTCTTTGCTGAAGAAAACAACATGCGTCAGAATGGTATTTCCAGGTCAGTGCAGTAGCCAAAAGTTTAAAAGCTCTGTGCTCATTGCACATTGATAGACATCAAAATTGTCCTGTTAAGGGCGTTTGGCTTCGCATATAATGCTAATTTTATATATAAAGGAGGGCGTAGATATAAGCTTACTCCCTTTACAACAAAATTAATCAAGCCAAGATTGCAACATCCCCAAATAGCCATCTGCTGTCTTGAAAATGTAGAAGGGATCAGGAATTAACTTCTTTAGTTGATATGACATCTATCAGTCAGATTGACACCTAATGCTCCTCAATTTTACATGTGAAACTGGTGTTACATTCTGCTTTTCCATGATTCTACAAGTATTTGGTTCTTGGGGATGTCTAAACTATGCCCGCCAAACTGAAACCATCACTCGTTTGCTTACCCAGTTTTCAAATTTGATGTCTGACATGTATATTTCATTCTTAATATTCTCAGGGCATTTGGACAAGGCACCATTGGTACGTAAAGTTTTATTCAGTGATAGTCCCTCATCAAGAAACATTTGTTATTCCACATGAGTGGTTGAATTGGCACGAAGCGTACCTATTGTAACCTTAACATATAGAATTGTTGAGTCCAATTTAGTTTATTCTATACAATTACATAGACCTGATTTTGCTAAAAGGACCTCGCGTATACATGTCTATGCCATAGTAATACTAGGCAAAACCATCTACTTGATCATTTTGAAGTAATAAGGAAATACAGTGTAGTGTTGGACGGATATTCCCTATTAAAAGATGAAAATGATAAAGCAATTTTCATAGAATTTTCCAGATTCAGCTACAAGGTTGCTCTTCTTCCCCATGTTCCATGACAATTGCTAAAGCAAATAGATCTTGCTGTGTCCTTTAATTTTCAATACATTCAGTAACCTTTGGGTTCCCTGGTAATCATTCATTTGAAAGTTGTTACGGATTATATGCAGGCTGATTTGTAGGGATTAGATAGCTGTCACAGATTGATATAGGCTGATTTGTAGGGATTAGATAGCTGTCACAGATTGATATAGGCTGATTTGTAGGGATTAGATAGCTAACAAATGTAGACTAGTTTGTAGCCTAAATTATAGGAATTAGAGGACTGATTTATTGTAATAGGATATCTTCCTATTATAAGATGTCTATACCTGTATATATACCCTTACGATTGATGAATAAAAATATGGGGAATTTATTCTCTTCCTCTGAAATTCACATGGTATCAGAGCAAGGTTTGTTCATAAATTTTTTTTTTTCTGGGTTGTTGGGTGTGAGGGAAGCTGCTGCCATATTCAAGGTACAGGCTTTAGAGGTTCCTTTATAGACACCGCCAACTCAGGGAGGTACGTAGTACCGATTGGTCAGAACCCAGCACCTCTCCTCTGTCTCTCGACGCTATTTGCATACCTGTTTGTGGGTCAACATCGATCTAGGTGTGGGACTTGGCTACAACAGGTTTTTCTTGTGGGTAATCTGTTATCTTGTTGAATTTTCTTAGCAATTATGTCTGACAAAAAGCCTGGAGTTGTTTCTGATATAGTTCCGCTGGTTTCAAAAATCACGGAACATAAGTTAACTGGAATTAATTTTCTTGATTGGAACAATACTATTGAATTATATCTGCTCAGTATTTCTATGGATGGCCATCTGACTGATGATCCACCTACGGATGACTCTAAATTGTCTTGGATGAGAGAGGATGCTCGCTTGTATATACAGATCCGTAATTCTATTGATAGTGAGGTGGTTGGTCTGGTGACTCATTGTAAGACAGTAAAACAATTAATGAACTATTTACAGTTCTTATATTCTGGAAAAGGAAATTTCTCTCGTATCTATGATGTTTGCAAGGATTTTTACAGGGCAGATAAAGGAGACAAGTCTCTCACCAGTTATTTTATGGACTTCAAGAAAACATATGAAGAGCTCAATATGCTGCTTCCCTTCAGTTGTGATGTGGAGGAACAACGAAATCAGCGAGCGAAGATGGCGGTTATGAGTTTTCTAGCCGGTCTTCCGTCTGAATTTGAGACTGCTAAATCTCAAATTCTTTCCGGTTCAGAAATTTCCAGTCTAGAAGATGCTTTTCGAAGGGTTCTCCGTACAGAGAATACGTTACCTGTTCTATCTACTCAGCCTAACAGTGTTCTTCTTAGCCGAACTACCACAGCTGATTCAGGAAGACAACACTACAAGAGTAATGGCAACAGTACGAGCATGGGGTCGGGGCCCAACCACTCTGATAAGAATACTAGCAATCATGGACAGGAGCAAGGAGAGATTGTATGTCACTACTGTCATAAACCAGGTCATATCAAGCGAGACTGTCGGAAGCTGCAGTATAAGAAGGCTCACTCTGCCCATATTGCATCTAGTTGTGCGACCTCTGACAAGCATGTTACAATATCTGCGGATGAGTATGCTAGATTGACTCAGTTTCAAGAAACAGTGAAACAGCCATCTGGTCATGTTACTGCTCCTGTCGAGACAGGTAAACCCAATGCATGTCTTGTTTCCTCTTCTCCAAAATGGGTCATTGATTCTGGTGCTACTGATCACATGACAGGTAATCCTAGTTTACTTTCTAACTTTCAGCCACATAAATCTATCACTCCTGTTACTTTAGCCGATGGTTCAACATCCAGTGTTATTGGGTCTGGAACCACTCAGCCCACATCATCTCTCCATTTATCATCTGTTCTGAGTCTACCACAACTATCTTTTAATCTGATTTCTGTCAGCAAACTTACTCGTGCTCTTAATTGTTGTGTCTCATTTTTTCCTGGTTATTGTTCATTTCAGGATCTCATGACGAAGAAGATTATTGGTGAGGGACATGAGTCTGACGGTCTCTACATTCTTGATACACCGAAACCAGGGTCTATAGCTTGTGCTGGAACAATCTCTCCTTTTGAAGCACATTGTCGATTGGGTCATCCTTCGCTTTCTATGTTGAAGAAACTTTGTCCTCAGTTTTCAAACATTACTTCCTTAGATTGTGAGTCTTGTCAGTTTACTAAACATCATCGTCTTAGTTCTAGTCCTAGAATCAATAAGCGAGCTACTGCTCCCTTCGAGTTAGTACATTCTGATGTTTGGGGTCCTTGTCCAGTTACCTCTAAAACTGGTTTCAGATATTTTGTTACCTTTGTGGATGATTATTCTAGAATGACATGGCTTTATTTGATGCAAAGTCGCTCAGAACTATTTCTTCACTTTTCTTCCTTTTGTGCTGAAATTCGAACCCAATTTGGTAAACCTGTACAAATTTTGCGAAGTGATAATGCAAAAGAATATGTTTCAAGCAGTTTTCAGAAATACATGCTTGAGCAGGGTATTCTTCATCAGACCTCTTGTGTTGACACCCCTTCTCAAAATGGGGTTGCCGAGAGAAAGAATAGACACCTTCTTGAAACTGCTCGAGCTTTGTTATTTCAAATGAAGGTTCCTAAATGTTTCTGGGCTGATGCTCTATCTACTGCTTGTTTTCTAATCAATCGTATGCCTTCCTCTGTTTTGTCTGGTAATACTCCTTTCCACACTCTATTTCCAAATAAACAGTTGTTTCCTATAGAACCAAAGATATTCGGTTGTACTTGTTTTGTTCGGGATGTTCGTCCTCAAGTTACAAAACTTGATCCTAAGTCCTTAAAGTGTATGTTTCTGGGTTATTCTCGCATGCAAAAAGGGTATCGTTGTTATTGTCCTAGTCTTGGTAAGTATCTTGTGTCTGCTGATGTTACTTTTTTGGAACAAACACCTTTATCTTCATCTTCAGGCTCTTCAAGTTCTGTGAGTCCAGGGGAGGATGATGATTTGTTAATCTATAGTGTCATACCAAATTTGGGTCCGCCTCCTTCTACACCGGTTAAGCCTCCCATCAAATATACCTACTCACGTTGGGCACATCAGCCCAGTTTTGACTTGGTCCTTGAGTCTCCAGAATCATGTCCTGATGAACCAGTCTCTTTGTCATCAGATCCGGCTGCCAACGATGATCTTGATCTCCCTATTGCTCACAGAAAAGGTAAACGTGCATGTACTTATCCAATCTCTTCAGTTGTTTCCTACCATCATTTGTCTTCCTCTTCTTGTGCTTTTCTTACATCCCTAGACACTGTTTCTGTACCTAAGACTGTTCGAGAGGCATTAGCTCATCCCGGATGGCGGACTGCTATGATTGAGGAAATGAATGCTCTAGATGTCAATGGTACATGGACTTTGGTTACCTTACCTGCAGGTAAACAAGCCATTGGATGTAAATGGGTGTTTACTGTCAAAATGAATTCTGATGGCTCCATTTCTCGATTGAAAGCTCGACTTGTTGCTAAAGGATATGCTCAAATTTATGGGGTGGATTATCATGATACTTTTTCTCCTGTTGCTAAACTTGCTTCGGTCAGGTTGTTTATCTCCCTTGCTGCAGCTTATGACTGGCCTCTGCATCAGTTAGACATCAAGAATGCATTTCTTCATGGTGATCTTCAGGAGGAGGTATATATGGAGCAACCACCTGGTTTTGTTGCTCAAGGGGGGTATGGGAAAGGGAAAGTCTGTCGTCTGCAAAAATCTCTATATGGCTTGAAACAGAGTCCTCGGGCTTGGTTTGGAAAATTTAGCCAAGCTATTGAGAAATTTGGGATGCAGAAAAGCAAGTCAGATCATTCTATTTTCTATAGACACTCTAATGGAGGTATTATTCTGTTAGTTGTATATGTGGATGATATTGTAATCACAGGTAGCGACTCTAGCGGAATTTCGTCTCTAAAGTCCTTTCTTCATACTCAGTTCTATACCAAAGACTTGGGGATGTTAAAGTATTTCTTGGGAGTTGAAGTTAGCAGGAGTAAGAAGGGAATCTTTCTATCACAGAGAAAGTATGTACTTGATTTACTGTCGGAGTCGGGAAAGTTGGGTGCTAAACCATGTAGTACCCCAATGGTTCCTAATTTACAATTAACCAAAGAAGGTGAATTGTGTGCAGATCCTGAGAGGTACAGAAGACTAATCGGAAAGTTGAATTATCTTACTGTGACACATCCTGATATTGCTTATTCAGTGAGTGTGTTAAGCCAATATATGTCCTCACCAACTGTTGACCATTGGAAAGCAGTCGAACAAGTTTTGCACTATTTAAAATGTGCTCCTGGACGTGGAATCCTATATGGCAATCATGGTCATACTAGGATTGAATGTTTTTCAGATTCAGATTGGGCAGGGTGTAAGGAAGATAGGAGATCTACTTCAGGATATTGTGTTTTTGTTGGGGGAAATTTGGTCTCATGGAAGAGTAAGAAACAGAATGTCGTCTCACGATCCAGTGCGGAAGCTGAATATAGAGCTATGGCCAAGTCTGTGTGTGAAGTCATATGGGTATATCAGCTCCTTACTGAAGTAGGAATTAAGGTCTCAGTACCTGCCAAGCTATGGTGTGATAATCAAGCTGCACTTCACATTGCTTCCAATCCAGTCTTTCATGAACGAACGAAACACATTGAGATTGATTGTCATTTTGTTCGTGAAAAGATCCAACAAGGTTTGATCACTACAGGTTATGTGAAGACTGGAGAACAATTAGGTGATATATTCACAAAAGCTCTTAACGGGGTCCGGATTGATTATCTATGTAACAAGCTGGGCATGATTAATATCTATGCTCCAGCTTGAGGGGGAGTGTTACGGATTATATGCAGGCTGATTTGTAGGGATTAGATAGCTGTCACAGATTGATATAGGCTGATTTGTAGGGATTAGATAGCTAACAAATGTAGGCTAGTTTGTAGCCTAAATTATAGGAATTAGAGGACTGATTTATTGTAATAGGATATCTTCCTATTATAAGATGTCTATACCTGTATATATACCCTTACGATTGATGAATAAAAATATGGGGAATTTATTCTCTTCCTCTGAAATTCACAAAAGTTAACAACGGTAGATGATGTGCTGGATATTCTTGTCTAAGTTAGTCTATTATCTTGAATGATCAGGTACATCTAATGAAAGTTATGCATCGTGTTCGTATGATGTTTATAGCTTTGGAAAGGTCCTGCTGGAGCTAGTCACAGGAAAGCTGGGTTTAAGTGCCACAGATGATTCCACCACCAATGGTTGGATAGCAAATTTGCTGTCTTATATTCTCCCTGACAATTCTGAACTCATTATAAACATCGTTGACTCATCTTTAGACATGGCTAGGCATGTCTTGGCCCACGTATGGGCAGTTTCTTTTATTGCTAAGGCATGTCTCAGTCCTGAATCTGCTAAACGACCCCAAATGCCTCAGATACTTTTGGCTTTAGAGCATATCAAATCATCAAGCTTCACCAGTAAACGTCCCAAGACTACGGGTGATCATGACTCACTTAGAGCAGCTATGGAGATTGCAGAGATACTCTGGGGATCTAAACTTGTAGGTTGGTTTATGAACGTCATTAGCATTTTGAGAATTTGAAATGTCGAATGCCAAAAGTAAAAGTATATCTTGCAGGAAGGACAGCTCATGCAACTGCTTATACAGAAAGTTTAGGAAGTGGCACTGCCTCAAGGAACCATAAATTCTCACAAGCTGGTGGCTTTGAGAAGACACATCCAAATGGAGGGATCTTCGCTCACCCCAGTTTAACTATTTTCTCTTATTCAGAACTTAGAACCGCAACCAGACATTTTGGATGTGACATAGCTGTGACAGAAGTTGAATTTGGGAGAGTATACCAAGCCTGGCTTCGAGACAAATCCTCGTCAAAGCATGGCAATGGATCGGTAGTTGCTGTTAGAAATATGTCTTCTGAATATATGCAGTTATTTAAGGTAATGGAAACCAATCTTGTAAGTAGCAACTAACTTTAGATCTCTAGCAAAACCAATCCTTTCAACTGGCATCTAATTTCCAACTGCCAAGTGTTGCTCCGTCCTGGTTCAAACATACTTTCCACCTCGTACAACACAAGAGCATATCCTCCTAAGATCTCTGGAAAGTTTTTGCCATCATCTCCATAATCCATATGAGAAATCTATCATTGGCAAACTCAGTGGTAGCTGAACTTTAATTTGCTTTTTCGTTATTCAAACTTTTCTGTGATGCTTTATGTTTTTCTTTCATATTTTCTGGGCAGTCTCGTGTACTGTCACTTGGAAGGCTTTCTCATCCTAACATAGTCGAGTTCCTTGGATATTGTGAGGACAAAGACCTACTTGTTGTCCATGAATTTATGCAAAGTGGCTGCCTAGACAACCATCTCTTTAGAGGTGAGATTTAGATTATATTGCACTATTAGTATCTCAAACAATCTAAGCATCATCTATTTTTAGAAAATTTTCAATTGAAATAATCTTGATACTTGGATGTCTCTAGCTGGCTCTGATGTTCAGCCACTTTCCTGGGACACAAGACTTAACATTTTAATTGGAGCAGCTCGAGGCCTAGCCTTCTTGCATGCAACACAAAAGCAAGGTTTTTATGAATATTTTGGTACCTCAGACATCCTGCTTGATGGTGTAAGTTGAGAAGCAAATATTTGATCAATACAAGTTTATTGCATGTGCAATCAAATAACATAAATCTATCAGAGTTTATCAAACGACTTGAAAAAATTTAACGTGCATGCCGAGTTTTATATGTCATCAATAAAACTGCTGAGATATCATTTAGCGATGCGATTAGCATCCATCTCAATTTTGTTTATCTTGATTTCAGGCTTTCAATGCAAAGATATCAGGTTTTGGCACAGCAAAGATTATTCTTCCGATTCATGAAGTACATCCAAATTTTTTTAGGAATGGAAGATATTCTGATGCTCCTCCTGAGAATGTCTTTCCATTTGCAGGTAACCCATCCAGATTGATCTCTTGAGGTTCTAGAATAAAGGTTTTGGATCTTGCGGTGCAACAGCGCTACCAAAGAAAATAAAGCTCGATTACTAGCTTAACAGGACTTGGAAAGATGAGATCATAATGCTAATAACTCTCCCTCATGTAACAGGGCTAATGAATGTGGAAACCGATGTATATGGTTTTTCTGTGGAAACCGATGTATATGGTTTTGGTGTGGTATTGGTTGCATTGCTAACAGGTTTATCTACAAATGGATGGCATCAACTTAGTTGGGGTGAAATCCATCCAATTCCATATTTTATGAATCTCGAAAGAAACAAATTGGTGAAAATTATGGATCCAAAGTTAGAGGGCAAATATCCTTTTAAAGCTGCACAAAAATTAGGTTCTCTTGCTTCCATGTGTCTTCAATATGAACCCCAATTCAGGCCATCAATGAAAGTTGTTGTCGAGGTACTTGAACGTGTTGCAGCTGCTAAGTGGAAAGACAAGAGCCCTGGATAAATCAGAAAGCTCATCAGCAGGTCCAGCAACTTTAGCAGTCTTAATAGTTCTAGCATTCTATCAATGCTTTGATGGAATCCAGCCAATAATAGCTACCTGTTGTTTTCTCTTCTAAAAATTAACGGATCCTTTCGTATGTTTGTCCTGGTTAGTTGACTGATGTCTACTACAGCTTTCTGTTTCTTTGGTAATCCAAGCCTCACTTGCCTGTGAAAGGTAATGGTGAATACAGCTTTACAGTCCTTTGATGGATGTCCTTTTAAGAATGAGCTTGAGCGACCAAGGTGAAGCCCCTTAACATTTGCTAGTCATTATTACTAAAAACAATATACATGCTCACACATCAAATCACTAGTACTTACAACTCCATTATCAATCGACTCTCAAATGTCGGATGTAATTATTTGTGCCTCAACTCTTAGCTTGAGAAAAGATGTACCATCTCAAAATTCAGTGATTCACTTTTAACAGCCTTCCAATTGAAGCTGAAGCTTTGCAACCCAAGAAAGTTGTGGCTGCCCTCAGAACTATGTACCTTCTGGTTTCTTTTACAAAGACCAAAATTAACTTTTAGCTCAAATCGTTTTGTCTTTCTAATTTCACCCATTACCTCAGGCCTATTCTTGTGATCACATGATAATGTTAAAGGATTCTGGAAGGCAAAAAGAACGTACTGGTAACGGAAGTAGATAAACGAAGATAAAAAACGTAAATGAAAAGAAAAATTAACAAAACAGAAAATGGAACTGAAGAAAAACTTAAAAAAAAAAAAGGAAAACTATATGAAAGAAAGCAAATTATAGAAAGGCCATCTGTGGATGTTAGCCTAGGCTAAAAAGCAACAAAATCATACAGTATTGAATTTCTGTTTCTACACCGTCAATGATATTTTTTAATTTTTTGAATATTTTGTGCTTTGGAACTGCAAAGGAGGTAGCAAAGAGGGAATGCAGGTAATGAGTTGGCGCCATCAAGTAGGTTCCTGGCAAATTGGAATATCCAAGTGCAGAATAACCATAAGACGGAATTGCTTCTGAACTCGAATACGTGCTTGTATGGAAAACTGAAGTATTTTGCGTGACAATGGCAAGTGGCTTGATCCTATCAATTAATTATTTTAACACTTATCATCATTATCATCTCCATATCAATCACTCAATCATGGCTAGATGAAAGTTTCTCGCTGCTATGGAGAATCTCCCCAGGATGCCTGGAAGTATCCGAGTGCATTCACACCATTGTTCATTGCCAGACATTCTGAGTCTTTGTTTGTTTTTCTGTTTGTCTGTCTGTTATTATTATTATTTTTTTTTAGCATGATCAGTAAGGTTAATTGTGCAGTTATCGCTTATTGGCAATTCCACATTTATTTTGAATAGACTAAAAGCAAATTTCACCTCTTTTATTGTTTGAAAACCTGAATGAAGGTTGTAGAAGACTAGCACTAGCTCAAAAGGTCTTGGTTCCAGGATTACAACAATTTCTGTGATGAAGCTTTTGAGAGACGGTGTAATTTTCCCTTCCAGTTCCTGCGTCAAAAATGTAAAGCGAATTGAATCAATCATTCTGTAGGTGGTTCCGGATCAAACAATTTCCTAGTCCACGAGAGTTGTAATTATCATGGTCAAGGATCATAATTGTGAGAATATGCTGTGAAGAAGCCTAAGCACTTGGTTACAAGTTCATCAGAATGGCGTAACTCCTTGCTCAACAAGTTCATGCCTAGTTTCTCAAACCTAATTCCAGATTGCTTCCTATTAAAGCTGTCAGAGATTAGCACATTTTTCATATTTGCAGATATATTTTGCAGCATCCCATTTGCCTTCTACTTTAGCATGGACAAATTCATGGTACTATTTATAGGGTAAACTACGACACTGTCCACCCCTTACGCGCCAGCCATTCCCTCCTCGATCGCCACCTCTACCACTCCCGCTTGTCTCACCTGGTTTTAGCTGGAACCTGTGCAGAAATTCATTGTCCATGCTCAAAGGTTAAACTTGCCATTAAGAAAAAATGGAAAATTTGTATTAAAAAAAAATAATCAACAGATTTCAATCAATTGGTTTATGGTAATATAAGGGCAGAAACAATACGTTGTTACTTTTCAATTCCGTGGGATGAGACTCAGGTAGATTCATAAGCATCCAAATTTTGACAAGAATAAGGTATCACTATAAGAACAAACATTTTTCCAATTTAGTTATAAGGCTAATCTTTTTTGCCATGTTCCATGACAATCAATAGAGCGAATATATCTTCCTCTGTCCTTTTGTTTTCGATACCTCCGGCAATTTTTTGCCCCCCCCGATACTTCAGTGTTGAAATTCTTATTCAAAAAAGTTGAAATAGTCATCGATGTACTGGAAATTCTTCTCAAAATTAGTCTTATTTTGTTGAGCCACCAGGTACATCAGGGGCAACTTATGCATCATGTGCCCTTGATGTTTATAGCCTTGGAAACGTACTGCTTGAGCTAGTTACTGGAAACCTGGTTTAAGTGCCAGAGATGATTTTGCCATCAATGATTGGTTGGAAAATCTGATGGCTTATATTCTCCCTGATGATGAGGAACTCATTGTAATCATCATGGAATCACCTTTAGTCACAAGTAACTATTTTTTGAACCAAGCATGGGCAGTTGCTCTTACTGCCAAGGCATGTCTCAGTCCCGAATCTGCTAAACGACCCCAAATGGCGCGGATACTTTTAGCTTTAGGGCATATTAAATCAGTAAGGTTCAGTATTACCAGCTTCAAGGCTACTGATAAGCATGGCTCTGTTAGGGCGGCTTTGGAGATTGTAGAAATTCTCTGGGGATCTAACATCATTGGTTGGTTTATGAACATCTTTATCTTTCTGCGGATTTGAAACGACTAATGGTAAACAGATTAGCGTATCATGCAGGAAAGATACCAAATGCAACTGCATGTACAACAGCTTTAGGCAGTGGCTCTGCCTTAAGGAACCATGGAATCTCAGAAGCTGGTGGTATTGAGGAGACTTATCCATCCCTCAGCCCACTTTAACTATTTTCTATCATGCAGAACTTATGGATGCAATCACTAGACATTTTTGTACGAATGCAACCAGATATTTTGGAAGTGTACTGGTGAGAGAAGTTGAATGCAGGAGAATATACCAAGCTTGGCTTCAAGAAAAGTCCACATTGAAGAGTGGCCAGAAATATGCAACCATATAAGGTAATGGAAAGAACTTGTAATTTGTAACTAACTTCTCTCTAACAAACTTTATTCATTTCAAGTGGTATCTAATTTCCTTTTACCTTACAAGAATTGGTCCTACCCATTTCAAAGCTGGTCCTTTTTGCTTTATAAAACACTGGAAGATACCTTTCTAAGCTTTCTGGAATCTTTTGTTGTCATCTACATTAAAGTTATTTATAGTTCGAAAACTCTTTGATAATTAAAGGTAAATAGTGGAGACTGGAGACCCTTGTTGTTCTTTGCTGTTATATATTTTGAACTTTTGTAAGTTGTTTCAAGTGTTAAATTCACATTCTCTTGAGTATGCTGTCTCATATATGCTGGCTTGGAAGACTCTGTCACCCCAACCTGATCAAGCTCCATGGATATTATTTGGAGGACGATGAATATATGCAAAGGGGCAGGCTAGAGAACCATCTCTTTAGAAGTGACGTTTTAATTATTTTGCTCTGATAGCATCTCGGACAATCTGAGCATCATGTACTTGTGGTAATCTTCAATTTCAATAATGTAGATACATTGATGTCTTTAGATGGCTCTGATTTTCCACCACTTTCCTGGGACACAAGGCTCAAGATTTTAGTTGGAGTAGCTCAAGGCCTAGCATTCCTGCATGCAACTGAGTGAGAGGCAAGGTTTTTATGAATATTTCGGCACATCAGATATCTTGCTTGATCACCTAAGTTGAGATGCAACATTTGACCAATACAAGTTCATTGCATGTGCAACCTCATATTACTACCTATGTACTGCAGTTTATCAGACTGCATTAACAGTTTAAGATGCTTGCTGCTTTTGTGTTTTTGATCAATAAAATTGATGACAAGATCGTTTGCCAAATGAAATCCTCATTCCTTTTAGATTTTGGTTAAGTATGTTATTTCAGGCTTACAAATGGGAAGATATCAGGTTTTGGCACAGCAGAGTTACGTTGTCTAAGTGATTGCTATGAAGTACATCCTAATTTTCTTACGAGGGAAAGACATTTGGATGTTCCTCTTGAGATTGTCCCATATCATATCCCAAGAAGTAACAAGCCAGATTGATCTCTTGAGATTCTATCTATGTATGAGGTTGTGGATCTGTAGTACAGCAGGGCTACCGACCGAAACATAGCTCGGGAGCTTGCTTACAAGGATCCAGAAAAAGTCGACTAACTGAAAGATAAGGTCATAATGCCAATAACTGTCTCGTGTAACAGGACTTATGAATGTGAAGAGCGATGTGTATGGTTTTGGTGTGGTATTGGTTGCTGTACGCTAACAGATTTTATTCCCTAAGGGTAAACATCGGCTTAGTTGGGGTGAAATCCATCCAGTTGATTTCTTCATGCCTCGTAAGGATTTCAAGAGTCAGTTGGAGAAAATCATGGATCCACAGTTAGAAAGCAAATATTCTTCAAAAGTTGCTCAAGAAATAGGTTCTCTTGCTTCCTTTTGTCTTCACCATAATCCTAAATTCAGGCCAAATATGGAACTAGTTGTGAAGGACTAGAAAGTATTACATCTGCTTAGCAGCAGATAAAAGAGCTCTAGATAAATCAGAAAGCTCATCACCATGGCCCGCTAGCACTGCAGTCTTAGTTCTTCACTTGTACAAAGCATTGACGGTTATCTGTCCAATTATAGCTACAACTCTTGAGAAAGGGTAATCCGTTCAATAATAGCTATAACTCTTGCTTTCTCCAATAACATTTAGCAGATCCTTTCACATGTTTGACCTAATTAATTGACTTATAATTTCTACTGCTTCCTGTTTCAAGCCTCATTTGCATGTTTTTCGTGGAAGATACGATGATAGCTGTAATGTAGATAGATCATAATGGCTAGAGTTCTAAGACAACAAAGAAAGGGTGGTCACAGCCACACTGCACAGACACCATCCGCGTATCATTGGTCCAAGGATCCCGAATGGCATTTCCTTATCATCATCTTCCTGCTTTAGTTTCAGCTGCTTATTTCACCTAGTGACATCTTCCAACTTCTTGAGCTTACTGGTAGGGTATTCACATCAATTTACAGTATCAAATTCTCCAAGCCACAGATTACTTTTCTGATTCAAAATTATAATGTAGGCCGCTCTTGGGATCTACTTACAGTGTTTTAGAAGATGGAATCGAGTAGCCGTTAGAAAATTGATTCATCCTTGGTCAAGAAACAATCATATCATTTAAGAATTGGAAATTCTCTGGATAGTTCTTATCCTAGATTGGTTCCTCTTCTTCGCCATTAACTTGAGAATAGGAATGAGATTATTGTTTAAATCTGGTTAACAAACATATTGGTTCTGGTGTTCGATAAAGATACAGTAGATACAGATATGTTACTCTGCTTACTAAAAGCTTGGAAGTTCTACCGAATTTACTGAACTTATGACAACATTATTCATTGATCAACCCTAGTTCCTTTAAAAGGTTAACAAGCTTACCGTACCTGTCTCTTACACGCAATGATGTAGCTTCCAATTCAGCTAGTTCATGCCCTAGTTCTGAACCTCCATCCTGCAGTGCTTTCTACTTAATGCTGACCATGGTTAGCACAGTTCTCTATCTTGCAGAGCTCTTTAGCAACTTGAATCATATCAGGCCTATTGGGTGCCTTCGTCTGAGTACACATCATTGCAAGGTCCAAGAAAGCTTGAAATTGCTTGTCTTGCATTACATTTCCTTCCGTCCAAATTCTAGGATCCAGAATGTTGTTAGATTGATTCTTATCAATATAATACTTGACATAATCCACGATATCTACCTTTTCACCTCCATGATTCTTGCACATGGCTTCTTTTCCAGTTAAAAGCACCAGTAGGAGCACACCCATGCTGTACACATCAGTTTTCTCAGTAACAATGCCTGATTCCAAGTGTTCAGGATCTACAAAACCCCATGTTCCCATTACAACGTCTTCTACCTGTGATTTTCCTGGAGGAAGCTTTACGGAGAGGGAGAAATCAAATAGTTTAGGAGTACCATCCTTGTCTAAGATGACTGTAGACGGCTTTAAGTTCCTATAGACTATAGGTGTAGCAAATGCATTGTGCAGATAAGTAATTGCATTGGCAATGCCCTTTGCTATCTGCATTCTGCTTTTCCAAGATAACAGTTTCTCATCGTCTGGGTAATAGAGGAGATCAGCAAGCAGCTGAGTTGCAGAGCATTCATACACCAAAGCAGGAAATTTCAATTCCAGGCAGCAGCCTCTAAGCTTCAGGATATTCTTGACGTGGCTCATCTGCGAAGAAACCGTTATATCACGAATAGGTCCACGGAAAACATGAGGGCTGATGGCTTCATATTCGCAGAATCTCTTGACAAAGATTTGTTTTTCTCCAAGAGAACCTCGAAACATGCATCCACTGTCTCCCAGGAAGACTTTTTCTGTGAAGTCCTTCGTTGCTCCAAGGAGTTCTTTCAGCGAAAAGGTTCGAATTGGATTTTCATATCTTCCACCAAAAGAAGCCATTAACTCCTCTAGCAGGGCACCTCCATTCTCCAAGAAGAAGGGTGAGGTTTCATCTTCCTTCTGTCGTTTTCTGAAGAGAGGTATCATTTTTTGGCTTTGGTCCTCAAGAAAATTGCTCAGATATCATAAAACCAGTAATTCATTCTAAGGTATGGGAAGTATCTCTAGTTGCCTATATATCAAACTTAATTCTGATTTAAATAATTGATCAGCTTAGACTATGCATAGAACTTCAGAGAAGATCCGAGCAGATTTGGTGGTTTTACTTTGACATTTTGGCACGCATTTGTCTTGTTTTGGCCCCATTTCCTTACTGTCAGGTCCACTTCAATGAGTTCTTGTCTCGTACGCTACGGCAAAACATCAAACTCGGTTGCTTTTTCGTCATTAAAATCTTATCCGGTGATCAAGAGTTCAATAAATGGGATGTTGCATGAGACATACCATCCAATATTTTTTGTTGACTAGGGAACATTTTTTGTTGACAAGGGAACGCAGCCGCTATTCGAGAGTGCACACTACAATAGCTAGCAACCTCTTCTAGGACAGGGTTTGCCTAATACGTCTTATCCCTCTATGTGAAAATATAGTCAAGTTATATCATTATTCTCAATAGAAAAAATTGATGACTATGATATATCTCTGAAGCTGCATCCCGTTTTTGATGACTATGATATGTCTCTAAAGTTTTTGAGGATATTTAGGTAAAATTCGGCCAAAAGAGTGAAAAAAAAATATAAAGGATTCCTCATAGGATCAAATTTGATACCCCTACCATTAAATAAATAATAATATATTATGACGCCAAATTCAACAGCCATTTTTTTAGGGTTTTTTTTTTGAAGGAAGTGTATTTGTTTATTATAAGAAGAGAATTTGGAGTACAAATAGATTTAGGTTGAAATTAGATTAAAGTTGTTGTTTACATGGAAATGAAATCTTTAAACAACGGGAAGAACAAAAATTCCAAGAAACGTTAAATCTGGAAACGGCCTTCAGTAACTATAACTGAAGAAGTGCCAATAGTGCATTATCCCCTGTATACGAAAGAGAAACCATATCCTTGGCGTAGATAGAAACGGCAACTCATGAATATATAAGTCATTTTAGTATTGTAGTCATGAATATATTAAATGTAATTTTAATTTGGTAGTTAAGTGACTTGGACTTTTGAGGATTTGGGGCCGTAACAGTTGGAGGAAGCAACGGTTCCAGAAGGTTGATGATCAAGATTTGGCCAAAAAAATGTAAAGTCCAAATTTCATCTTGTACATCATTTTTCACATCATGTGTAGGGTTCACAAAATTTTGGTCTATAATTACGCATCACGCAAAGTGAGTTACATCATGTGTAAATTGAGTTATATCTTGCGTAAAATACACAAAATCGATCCGAACGGTTTCTATGCTGACTATTCCTGCCCCAAATTCAACTTTTGATATCATAGGTAATTCTAAGTGTCCTTTTTTAATTCTAACTCTTTCCTTTGAAATAGAGTTGTTGAGTGGTGGCTTCGCATGCAATCAGACGTTCTTAGAGGTATTTTTAAAAAATTTTAGTGTAACTATGCATGTGAAAATTTTTTATGTAAATAGATGTTTTTGGGGATGCTCTTGAGAGTGCTTTTAAGTATGCATTTTGGGATATTTTTAGAATTTAAAAATTTTTTGAAAAACATTTTGAAAATTAAAAACACCAACCACCGCCATCAGTGATCGCGACCACCTCCCTTCTCTTTTCTCCTTCCTCCTCCTCCCTCTTTCTTTCCGTCCGCCTCCTTCCTCCCCCAGCAGCGCACTTATATTCTCAAAGAATAAGAGTGAGATTTAATCTTTTTTCTGTCATTGTCTAAAGCACGGTAGCATTTTTTGGTTTTTGGTCCTTCAGGAAATTGCTTGGAGATCATAAAAGTAGTAGTTCAGCTAAAGGTATGAACAGAATCTCTAGGAGTGTTCTGATTGAGTTATAGAGAAGGTGAGACTATGAAAAGGACTTCTGAAACAATCCAAGCAGATTTGGTGGTTGGCTTTTAGCATCATTTGTCAAATTAAGTATTAGGTCCAATTCAATGAATGCCTGACCTCGAACGCCACAGTGACACATCAAAGTTATTGGTTTTTCATCATCAAAGTGTGGGACCTGGGAATAAAGAGTTCAAAAAACATCTGACAGTTGTTTGAGAAATACCATCTACATTCAATGAAGGAAAGATCAGTATACTAACTCAAAAAGCTCTTGGTAATATCCTTATAATATATATATATTTTTTGTAATTAATAGAGATAATGGACCTCCAAAAATATTAGCTGGGATTGAGTTCCTCTACAAAAAATGAGATAAGGAGGCGTAATATATAGAAACAACAATCTTCCTGCAGCATCACTCAGTCTGTTTTGGATTATCCAATGCAATATTCCTTCACTTCCTGAAAGATGGCTAAAAATCTGAACTCAACATTTGTTTGGTTGAGCTTGTTGGAAATCTAAAGAGTACAGATAAATATTTATGTTGCAGAACATATTTAGTTTCTAGTCAATTTTCAGTTACTCCAGATTGCTTTTAATGCCAATTATGAAGCCTATTTGATGTTATCTATGCAATAATTTTCTCAGAGATGAAGTTTGATTACACTGTTATAATGAAGCATGTCTCAGGAAGTCATGGAAAATTGAGAGAGATTTCTGTGTAACTGAAGTTCAGATTATTATTGACTTTACCTACAGACGTACTACTGTATCTTGAAGCTGTACTGTAAGAACATGGATCGGGCCTTTGAGCTCATTCAATGATCAGGTGGTGGTGGTAGAGCTAGCAACGAACAGCCTTCTCAATATGGAGGAGCTCTTTTGCAACATCAAGCATATCCGGTCTATCAGCTCTTTCATATTCTGTGCATCTTAAAGCCAGATCCAGGAACGCCAGCAAATTCTGCCTGAGCCCGTCACTGTTTTCTCCTTCAAAAATCTGTGGATCCAAAATTTGGTTAATTTGAGCATTGTCAAGGCAGTCTTTGATGTAATCTCTGACATGAATCGGTTCTACTGTTCCTTCTTGATACTTCACCATTGCTGTTTCTCCAGTGAAAAGCACAAGCATGAACATTCCAAAGCCATAAACATCTGTCTTCTGAGTAATAAAGCCTGTAATCGTGTATTGAGGCTCTAAGTATCCAAATGTCCCTTTAACACGATCTTCCACCTGCAGTTCTCCAGGAGGAAGAGATATTGAAAATGTGAAGTCAAAAAGTTTAGCAACACCACATTGGTCTATTATCACTTTATTTGGCGTCAAATCTCTATAAATAATCGGTGTAGGAAACGCAGAATGAAGATAACCAATAACATTGGCGATGTCCTTGGCAATCTTTATTCTACTTCCCCAAGACAGTCGTTTAGCATCATTTTTGTGGCTGAGATACTTGGCAAGAAGTTCAGTTCCAGCACATTCATACACTATAGCTGGACACTTGAATTCAAAACTGCATCCAATGAGCTTGAAGACATTCTTGAGGTGGCTCATCTGTGAAGTAATCACTAAGTCGCGGGTAGCTCCACGAAGAACGCATTTATCAGAGTCGCCTATATTGCTGTAAAGTTTAACTAATATTGGACGGCCTTCTAAGTTACCTCTGAACATGTAACCATTATCAGTCATGTGAGGAACTTGCTCTGAGAAATTGTTCGATGCCCTGATGAGTTGTTTTGCAGTGAAGCTTTTAATTGGAAGCTTGTATCGTCCTCCAAAAGATTCAATTAGCTCTTCCAAGACTAGACTTCCATTCTTCAAGAAGTTGGAAGATCTCTCTTCTTCTTCTTCCTCCTCCTCGTTTCTTGCTTTAAGAAATGGTAAAGCTTTTCTGATACAATCCATGTAAGGATGTTTTTGAATATGGTTCTGAAATCACATTAGAGCAAAAGGAATTCGATTATCTTAGAACACATACAGAACAAAACATTATTATCAAAATGAAGCATCTGATATCAGAATTTTAGGAGTTAAGGTTTACAGCTTACAAAAGATAGATGAAAATTTAATTACCTGTAACTTCTGTAAAAAGATTGTGAAGGGAACCAGTTGCAACCAGAACGCTAAACAGAGAAACGTTGGACTTCTGATGATAGCTAAGAAAAGTCAGAAACAATTTGAGGTCTTTCGAGATGGAGATCAGCTTTCCTGCAGCAGAATATCCAATCGACTTTGACATTCAATGCATGTACCAAGAAAGATCTAAGCACGCGCTGTCAATGAAACTCCATGTGAATTTACTATTATGTCCTCAATATTTTTGCCTAATCTGCTAATTTACCCTTTATCAACTCTATTTCAGGGAAAAATTAATTAAAAAAAAAAAGAAGAAAGGTGTGCCTCGTGACCATTGTATAGATGTTTTTTTTTTTTTTTCCCTCCATACTTTTTATGTTTGATGAAGATCTTGTACTTACAGTAATAAAACTAGTGGTTAGTAACTAATCAGATTATTACATACATCACCAAAATAAGCAATTGACTCCTCTGCCTGTCTATAACGGAGCTACCAAAACAAGATAACTTGCCCTTGAAAAGAGATTTAAAGTCCGTTTTAAATTTTTAATCGAGAATTTAAATCTCCACCGTATAGTTAAAAAATTTCAAAGAGTATATTTGTGCACTCCTTTGGTCCTTTCCTCTAATCCCTTATTCGACTTAATTGGGTTGCCCCTCCCCTTAGTCAAGAAGAGTGAGATTTTTTCTTTCTTCTGCCTTTATTCAACACAGAGCAACATCTTTTTCCTTTTTGGGCTCCACAAAGAAATTGCTGAGAGTTTGTATTGAATGAGAAAGGTCGGAGAATTGGCTAGGCAAGTACGAATGCATTCAACAGCTACCCAATGCAATGACCATATGAAGTTTGGTTTAGACCTAAACTGTAAAGGCCATATTAAGATACTTCCCAGCAGATGCTTGGTGCTTTCCACGATTTTCAATATACGTGTGTCTGGAACAGAACTAGTCCCGCTGCAGAAAAATGTGTTTGCACCTCCTTATTAATTAGTTGGTACTTGTGACTATTGTAGTTCTTGATGTTTTTCAGACACTTAAATAGTTGAATTGAAGATCTCATCTACATTTAGAAAAGTAGAGCTTAACATATGTTGCTTAGATAAAAGAAATACTCTTACCTATCCGATCCATGGTTCGCCATTGCGGGTCGCGTTCCTATCGCGGTTTCGGTTGTTCCGCATCTGTCACGGCATATCAGTTGAATATCAGGTGATACGCACATTATAGCACATGAAAGTTTCCAAAAATTTTGAAAAAATTACTAAAATTAGAAAATACCAAAAAGGCACAATTAAAAAATTATCCGAGTGGACTCGGATATATCGGCCAAAAGTTACGACTCAGCCGATATTGCGAACCATGATCTGATCTGATGAATGTAACGGTAATCTTTGTAATGTTGGCTTTTTACCCTGTTCAAGGGCCTTGTTTTCTGTACTTCCTTCTCTTCTTTGATCATGACCTTCTTTTTTCCTGAATTAAAAAGCAATGTCTATTTAAGTAAACCATAATTGGAATTTGAACATGCTCTCCAACGCTATTCTTGTTATGACTGGATCTGTAGTTTTGAATTCCCCAATATACAAGACGTGATATTTATCAAGTAATAAGCTTCTCAATAGCCAGTGCCAATAGTCAGGTGCGACTCAACCTTGTAGCAGACTAGCAGCTAGTTTACATTTGTGATTCTCGAAACATATGCTAGAGATGTTATAGTTGTTCACACATATCAAATCTAGGACCAAAAGAAAAGAGATTTCATGAAATACACAATTTGAAATCTTATCCCTCTTTATGTGTGTAAAAAGAACCATGAAGCTCTTCTACCCAGTCAAGAAAACTTCAATTGTGAACAGGTTATAGACTAACAACGGTAAACAGACTTCTCCATCTGCCGAAGCTCTTTTGCTGCATCAATCATATCCGGCCTACTGGTTTGCTCATGTTCTGTGCATCTAAAAGCGAGATCCAAGAAAGCTAGCAACTGCTGCTCCAGCTCATGCACACAATTATCTCCTACCTCTTCCATTATCTTAGGATCCACAATTTGGTTGAGCTGATCATTGTCAAGGTACCCTTTGACATACTTTCGGATATGAATCAGTCTTTTGATTCCTGTATGATACATGACAGTATCCGTTTCTCCAGTTAAGAGCATGAGCATAAGAACGCCTAAGCTGTATACATCAGTTTTCTGTGTGACAAAGTATGATTTAAAGCATTGAGGATCTGTGTATACATCTGCCCACCTAAGCTGATTCTCCACCTTTAGTTCTCCAGGGGGAAGTGATATAGATAAGCCAAAGTCGAACAATTTTGCTTCACCAAATTGGTCTATTATCACTTTGTCTATGGTTAAATTGCCAAAAATGACAGGTGTAGAAAATGCAGTATGAAGATAAACCAAGACATTGGCAACATCACTCGCGATCTTTATTCTACTTCTCCAAGACAGTATTTCTTTACCATCATCAGCAGGCATGTTAAGGCAGTCAACAAGAAATTCAGTTCCAGTAGCATAACAATACACCATGGCTGGATGCTCGAATTCCAGGCAGCAACCAATAAGTTGTAAGACATTCTTGAGGTGCCTCATTTGTGAACTCATCACTATGTCGCGGATGATTCTGTTTGAAGCATTTTCATTCCACCTTGAATCTTTTCCCAGACCATTGTAAAATTGAACTAAAACCAGGCGTTTTCCCATGTTTCCTGTGAACATATCACCGATCTTAGTTTGACGGACTTGTTCTGAAAAGTTCCTGGTTGCCCTGATGATTTCTTCAGCTGTGAAGCTTCGGACAGGAAGTTCATAACGTGCACCAAAAGAAGCAATGAGATCCTCCAATACTAAACCTCCATTCTTGGAGAAGCAAAACAATCTTTTTTCTTTCTCCTTTCTCAGTTTTGGCCTAAGGACAGCAAAAACACGCTTCATTTTATCCTTCATTATTTTGGCAATGTAACCTGATTCAGACCTCAAACTGGGAACTGGATTATCTTATCTCAGAACAAAACTATGAAAGGAATGAAGCAGATGCTGTCAACTATAGATGAATGAGCTTAATTTCTAGTTACCTTAAAACTTGTGTGCAATGCTCATTGCCTTGAACTGGAGAAATCTTGCAATGGAGACAAAAGTATGATACTTGCATTATAGAGAAAAAATTGTATCTTTGTTACAGAATGGACCATACTATAGATTGGAAATAGAAATGAAAATATCCAAGTATGATACAGTGAAGTCCATGATCTAAAATCATTAGTCAAACAGCATCTAGCAGTCTCAAATATTGACTTTGGCTCATGAAGGCAAGTTCCAAGAAACATCCAGGTGCACCAAGAGAAGCAATGGGATCCTCTAATATTGAAATTCCATTCTTGTAGAAGAAAAATCTTCTTCTTTCTTCCTCCGTTCTTAGTTTGGGTCTAAGGAAAGCAAAGATGCATATCATTTTATTCAACTTCATATTTGCAACCTAACATGATTCACAGTTCAAATTGGGAACTGGATTATCACAGGAAGAACAATTAACAGGACTGAAGCAGACACTATCGACTATCAAGATTTAAGGGTCAAAATCTCCAAGGGATCAATGAGGTTTCTTGTTACCTTACTTCCTTGTAACTACAACTGATTATCTTGATCTGGTGAAGTCTGCATTGGACACAAAAGTACGATACTTCTGACGTAGATAAACAAAAATGATTTCTCTTTCAGTAAACAAACCATTCTAGGTTGGACTTTGGACAATGAAAACGTCGAAGTATGATCCAACTGAACATCCCATTAGTAAAAAACAACACACATATATTTGGATGATTTATTTGAACGTCCCATTAGTCAAAAACAACACACTCAAATCGGATATATTTGGATTGACTTTTGGCACATTAAAGCATGTTCCAAGAAATATCCAAGCAGTTATCCCTGACTTCAATTCAAGCTATTAAAACATCTTGAAAATGGCCACATTTATATGCCTTGCCTATTTTGAGTCAAATATACTTGTTTCAAATTGGAATTCTCATTTAATTAACTATTTATATGTACTAATTTCTCTAGAAATGAAAACTTTCAGTCAGATTCCAAAATCAGTCATGATGGACTGTAAGCGACTGATCACGATAACCACTGTGCCAGTTACATTCAAAACATATTACAAGTTCGGTTTTCTGATTCTTGGGGTTATACTTGATCATTATCTGCAAAAAAAAAAAAAAAAACACTCAAGTATAATTTCTCAACTATTTTTGTGCACTTGAAACATGAATTACAGAAGCTTTTTACAGTGAAAATACAAACATAAAGCACTTGATCCTCAGTCCATAGTCCATGGCAGTGGTAGAGCAAATTAAGAACAACGAACAGACTTCTCCATTTGACGGAGCAACTTTGCAACTTCAATCATATCTGGTCTATCCACTCGGTCATGTTCTGTGCATCTCAACGCGAGATCCAGGAAATCAAGCAACTGCTGCTGTACCTCAGGTTCATTATAATTACCTTGCTGTTTGAACATATTTTGATCCACTATTTGGTTGAACTGATTGTTCAAAATATGCCTCTTAACATAATCCTGGATGTAAATTCTCCCTCCCATTTCTTCATCATACTTGATTGCATCCGTTTCTCCTGTAAAGAGCATGAGCATAAGCACACCAAAGCTGTAGACATCACTCTTTAGAGTAACAATATTTGACTTGAAGCATTGAGGGCCAGACGGAACATGTATCCATTTCAGCTGATTTTCCACCTCTGATTTTCCAGGAGGAAGGGAAATAGATAAGCCGAAGTCAAACAATTTAGCTATACCGCTTCGGTCGATTATCACCTTATTTATGGTTAAATTCCCAAAAATGATGGGTGCAGAAAACGCAGAATGAAGATAAAGCAAAACATTGGCAATACCAGTCGCAATTGTCAGTCTATTCTTCCAAGATAGTAGTTTACCATCATTATTAGGAAGGCGCAGACGATTGGTAAGAAACTCAGATCCAGGAGCATAATAATACACCATAGCTGGATACGCAAATTCCAAGCAGCAGCCAACAAGCTGCAAGACATTCTTGAGGTGGCTAACTTGTGAAGTAACCACTATATCGCGAATAATTCTATCAGGGGCAGTTTCATTCCAAGAAGAATTCTTTGTCAGCCCACTATAAAATTTAACTAAAACTGGTCGTTCTTTCAAATTACCTGCAAACATATCACCAATGTTAGTACTACGAACTCGTTCAGAAAATTTGTTGGTTGCCTTGATGAGTTCCTCGGCAGCAAAGCTTCGGATAGGTAGTTCGTACCGTCCGCCAAAAGAAGCAATAACCTCCTCCAATGTTGAACTTCCATTCTTGAAAAAATATGATAGCTTGTCTTCTTCTTTCTCCCTTCTTGGTTTAAGAAATGGTAAAACTTTGATGATTTGTTCCATGAAGGATTTTTCTGTTTTCTCTGGAATGGGACTTCAAAGATCAGAACATAGAAATAAACACAATAATGAATGAACCATATGCTTATTTAGATTTCATTTCGTGTCAAAATTAACCTTCGATTATCTCAAACTTACATGGCTGCTACAATTGGATGGAAAGTCACAATATACTAACATAGATAGACATGGTTGACTTTGACAAGGAAGGCATGTACCAAGAAACATCCAACCAGTTCTCTGCCAGCTTCTATTTGGTTTTCATGTAAAACTAGCTTGACATTGAGTATACACATATGTCTTCAGGTCAACAGCATAAATATCAAGTGGCAACCTGCTACATTAACAAAACAGTACTATGTATATACCAACCCAACGATGATATCCAAGCAGAACCATATTGATGGAAAAAAAAAAAAACTTAAAAGGTAATTGAAGTTTGGATCATAATCTCTTCACTTTTTCCACTTGGCTTGAAAGTTTAAATAGAAGTAATCTAGTACTAAACTTACTCTTGGATTGAAAGGGGTTTCGTGAATACACAGTCTAAAATATTGTTTAGCATATGACTAATTTCAGAACAGTAATGTAGCTTTTTTCTAGTGTAAGAAAAGCACATGAAGCTCTACTACCCAGTCAAGAAAAAAAAATTGAATAAACCGGGCATTTTACCATGTTTCCTGTGAATATATTATCAATCTTGTACCGTGTTTGACAAATGAGTTTTTTGAGTGTTTATCAAAGACTTTACTGTAATTTACTGTAGAAGTTGTAGAAAAATTTTTTAAACTGTGTAAATTTTTGAATATATTGAAGTATAGTTTAAAGTTTTTGAAAAATTTTTTGAGGTTACTGTTGCTAAAATTGTTAAAAAAATTTGTAGCTGACAAAATTGGCCAAAAACTTATCAGCCAAACAGGCGACGGACTGGTTCTGAAAAGTTCTTGGTTGCCCTCATGATTTCTTCAGCTGTGAAGCTTCGGACAGGAAGTTCATTACGTGCACCAAAAGAAGCAATAACTTATAGTAAAAGTTTACTTGCTAGTAAAATCCTAAAAGTTGAGACACTCAAATGAAAATACTTAAAAAATTTTTTTGGGCGGTGAGGATTTAATGGTAATATTAAAACGTCCGCTGACCTTTCAACCCTTTCCGAAAACAGAAAACTGGGATGTAATCCCGGGAAAATTTATGCGTACTATTCTAGTCCTAAGCAAAATGAAAACCTCAAAAATGGAGGAGGAGGCGCGGGAGGAAGGGGAGGGGGGAAGAGAAGGGAAGGTGGTGGTGGTCGGTTTGATAGAAAAAGCTACGAATTCTACGAGGCCAGAAGTGGACCCTCGCCTTCTCAAAGCCATTAAATCAGCTGTTCGTTACTCCGATTCCGAGCTCCGACTCGCCGCCCAAACCCTAACGTCCCTCATGAAACGCGACCACTCTCAGGTGCTTCATTTTTCTCTTTATGTATTTATTTTTTTTTGGTTTTTAGGAAATTTCTTTCTATTATCTTTGCAATTATGTTATCAATTTTGTGGTGGTGGTCGAAGGTTGATCTCAACATTGCACATATTTACTCGGTAAAGGTTTTAGAAAAGAAAAGTTTTAACTTTGATGAAGAAGCTTGAGGATTTTGATAGTATTTGAGATTCATAAGCTTTGTTTGTGGTAGTGTCTTCTTTTTATCCTTCTTCTTCTTTCCTATTTCTTTTCTAATTCATGAATGTCTAGGTGTCTGCTTTATTTGTCTACTAGTGGAGCAAGATCGGGCTGCTGATTTTTTGCTAAATTAGTGCTGGCTTTTTTATAATCTTCTGGAAACTACAATATGCCTACATAAATCTTACTAAATTAGTGCTTTTCAAGTAGGTATAGGATGTTATAACTCTATTTGATGTGAAATATTATTGAATTCTGTGGTATCATGTATTAACTAGGTAGGAATGAGTATTTAGCTAAAACGAAAAGGAAAAGCTTGGGTAACTAAGTGTAATGTGGTTGCTGATAAATTTACGTAAAAATTGCATGTGATTGAATAATTTGTTGTTCTTTTGCTATATTTACTAAATCTAGTGTCTTGAGTTGGAACATGTACTATTTTGCTGAAAAAGTTAGGATGCGCCCGTTGACACAAGAGTATTGCTGACAAATTTGGGAAAATTAGTTTATGATGTAAAAAATGGCTTCAGGAGAGGAATATTTTTCTTAATTGCCAAAAAGAAGGCTGAGGGTTGGATGCTTTCCCAGAAAACATAGTAAGTTGCATAAGTTCTGACTTGTAGTCAAAGCCTTTGATAATTCTCCTATAATCCATTTTCAGCTCAGCTCATTTTGAAGAGACTGTGTTATAGCTAAAGCCAGTAAAAAACTTGTGTCTTTGTGTGTGTGTGTGTGTGTGTGAGAGAGAGAGAGAGAGAGAGAGAGAACAGAAGAACAATGAAACAGATCTGATTCTCAGCTATGGATTTGTGTGCATGAATGGATAAAACAGAAGAAAATGAAAAATTATGTGGAAGCTGGAGTGATAGCCTTTGCTTTCTCCAGAAGGCATTTGCTGTCTGATATGACATTACTATTGTTTCATAGAGAGAAATTGGGTTGTGTTATTTTTAGTCCTTTTTAAATCTTACATCTCCATTCTACTCAAAATTCCATCCCATGATACAGGAGTAAAATTGCATGGTGGAACTAAACATATTCAACTTGTTGTACAGGTACGATACCTTGCACTTCTCATAATAGATGAGTTGTTCATGCGGTCAAAGCTTTTCAGAACTCTTCTTGTTGAGAACCTAGATCAGTTGCTCACATTAAGTGTAGGATTCAGGAGGAATCTGCCGCTGCCAGCTCCTGCTGCTGTTGCATCTGTTCTGCGTTCAAAGGCTATTGAGTTCTTGGAGAAATGGAACACATTATTTGGTATACATTACAGGCAGCTGAGGCTAGGGTATGACTATCTGAAGAATACCCTTCGCTATCAATTCCCTAATTTGCAAGCAAATGCTGCTCGGATTCAGCAGGAAAGGAGGGAAAAAGAGATTAGGACAAAAGAAATATTGCTGAAGAAGTTTGAAAGCTTGAAGGAAAATCTGCCATCAATCAGAGATGATATTCAGTCAACAGTTGATGAAATTAGTGAATGTCTGGACATTATTCAAAATAAAGATGATAATGTGCCTTTGGTTCCTGTGGATGAAGAGGAAATAGAAGAATTCCACAATGCCGAACTGCGACAAATTCGTCTAGACTCCTTGAGAGAAGGTGAAAAGCTTCAAGAGAATAGTGAGAATAAGGTAATTTTTGATGCATTGAGAGAACTATACAAAGTTCTAGTAACAAAGCATTTGGCTGCAGTGCAAGAATGGACCTCTGTCCTCATAAGGGTGGAAGGGGCAGATAGCAGGTTCCGAGACAACACATTGAAGGAGCTCATAGATATTCGAAATCACCTTCAATCGGTGAAGAGAAAATGTGAAGTTTCAGGTTGTGCTCTTCCTAAAAGTACAACTTCTGAGGAAGAAGATATTTGGGAAGAGGGTACTCTGGAATCACATGCAAATGTTGAATCATTTATTGAAGAGAAAAAGAGCGAGTTATGTGTTGCATCCACTTCCAGTAAGTTTGAAGGCAAAGCTTCTGAAGGCAGCAAATCTAAGTTGGTAGCTGCCAAGAAACTGGATGGTGGCTACAGTCATATGGAACCTAATCCTGTGAGGAGCAAGCTAATGGCTGAAGCCCCAGTTCTGACGTGGGGTTCTTTCTTGGATAACTGGGGCTCAAACCAAGATGTATTGGCTAATCAGAGGGGTTTAGAAATTGAAAATCATTGGGGTAGGGTAGACTATGATGCAGTGATTCCGGCAGAAAAAATTGCTGAGTTGAATCTTCAGGCAATTGTTTACAAAGAGGAACCTGTTGAGATCCAACCATGTCGGGCCCCATTGAAGAAGGGGGGCCTTTGTCCAAGAAAAGACTTGAGAGTTTGTCCATTTCATGGACCAATCATTCCTCGGGATGATGAAGGGAGACCAATCAATCTGACTTCAAGTCCTGAGTTGGGGGGCGGTAACTCCTCAGGGGAAGAGATGAGTCCTGATTTAGTTGAGAAGCTAGTCAAGCAGGCTGTGAGAAATGTTCGTGAGAGAGACAAAGAGGCAGCTAAGAAGAGACACCATGACAAACAGGATTTGAAAAGAGCAAAGCTTGCAAAAGTTAGAGAACACAATGAAGCAGTTCTACGTGATGCTGCACTTGCTTCAACTTCAAGATCTTCATATATTGGTGAGGATACAGAGGCAGTCAGCGGCCCAAGATCTTTGCCTAGAAACAAGAGAGACACTCTCGCATCCATGCTGAAAAGGAAAGAAACTACTAAAGACAGGCTAGCCCAGAAGCTACTGAGTACCCGTGCTAAGGATGCTACAGTAAAACAGTTAACTGTGGAAGAGGAGTCAAATTACAAGGAAGCATTTCCAAACCAATGGTAGATGGAAATACATCTCTGATAATGGTGAGTTCAGTAAATCATACAAAATGTAGGGATTCTCTTGGATTTGTGTCATATTGAATGTACTGTATGACGGATATTTCATTCATTCAATGGGAATTTTCTTTGCACTTTGTTTCCTTGATTCTGTAACCTTAGCGGGTTTGATGAGATTCGCCTCCATTCTTCTTCTCATTTGAACATTAATTCCCAGTTTTCTTCTTCTACAAAATCATTGCACAACGTCAATCTCATCAACAACCAAAATGGTAGGGTCCTCTTTCCTCCCTTTCCCAGTATCCGTGAGCTCCTTAGCGGGTTTGTACCAATTTTATGTACCCTCCAATCTGTGAGGTCTTTTCTTTTCTCTATATTGTTTTCTCTCTTTTTCTCTATTTTGCTCTTGTAGCTGTCATTCCTCCTAATTTATGTCAAAGTTTGGATCTTTATTCCTCATGGGTTAACTGATGCAAGATTGAATATTTACTATGGAAATTTGTCCTTGAAATAACATATGTTTGACTCTCCAAATTTAATGGACATGTTATATTTCATTACTCCTGAGTTGGTCAAATTAAAATAAAGATACATCCTCATGAAAGAGAGATGGGTATATGAGTGCATGTGTAAGTACTTGAGTGCTAGAAGCATTCTAGACCCTCTTGTGGCATGTTTAGCTGTTAATGATGCTCCACTATTTACATTTATTTTCTAGCTGTTTATTACATGTTTCATGTCATTTCTTTTTTGGTTATTTTCCTGTGAGTTGCTTGAATGATTCCAATCTCTCTGTCTCTCTCTGCCTCTCTTCGTGTGTTTTTAGGATTTAATCTATTGAAAGTGGTTTGTTTTAA